TAAAATTAAGAAAAAAATTATGAATTATCATCAATTATATGAAATTATCTTTGGTAAATATATATATATATATATATATATATATATATATATATATACTAACTATATCTAAACTAGTATCGCTGTATTAATGTTTTTTTTTATTTCACTTAGTAAAATTATCAAGATGAAATAATAAAAAAAGAATAATACTTCCTTAATCTTCGAGAAGATTAATAAATTTGAAACAAAATATTATTTAAAAAATATTATATTTTTTTAAACTAATTAAATAATTAAAAAATTAATTGATTAAAATCAAACTCAAATATTAATACAAACAAAAATATAACAATGGCTAAAAAGCAAAAAAGAAGTTGGTAGGTTGGAGTGACCTAATGATTTGGTTTTTGATGTTTGAAGTGTGAACTTTCATACTTAAGTTTTAGAATTCACAATTAATTAGTCACACTGGGCAGACCTTGACCTTAATCCTACCTCGTGGGAATGCAGATCAGGTGCAGTCCCCTCGTCTCAACAGTTTTGCATTTTTAAATAAAATTTTAAGTTATAAAATTAAAATTTTAAAAATTAATATTTAAAAATATGAAAGGAATGAAAATATAAATATCATATAATCATTCACATTAATTTTTTTTACATTATATAAATTAAGTTAGATATTATATAAATAAATATTATAAAAGATATAAATTACTAAAAAAAATAGAAATTTTATTTTAAGAAACTAAAACTAAAAAAATTATAAATTTTGGAAAGTCTAAAATTTTATTTAAACTTATAAGATTTTAATAAACAGTATATATAGCACGTCTACTGTTAGTGAACGGTAGTTATGCAATATTGCTTGATTAACTAATGTTTATTTTAAAAATAATGATGCAGGTTGAACACTAAAAAGCTTTCGTTTTGGTTATTTTTTTTATCTACCAAAGAAAGTTTTGAAGACTTTAGCAGGTCGAGACAAGCCAGATAATGGCAAAGTATTGCATCAATTCCTATGTACCAATAAAATATGGGTTATCTTAATCGTGTTTTAAAAAATTAATATTTTAAACTTTTAGTTTTTAATTAGTGTCTTAATTTTTTTAATAAAACACGTAATTTCTTAGATAATCTCTATACTTTAAAGTTAAATAAAATACAAGGGGAAGTTTTAATGGTAAGTTTCTCCCCATTTCAGTATATCATAAATCGTTAATTTTAAACGTAAAAGGAGAAAAATAAATCTTATGGGCACAGGGAACATGGATCTATCTGCACCAATTAATTAATAATTAATTATTTGTGAAGACATCTGCTGCTGACTGGATATTGTTGGCTCTGTATGAAATAAATATTTTGACTTGACCAATATTCTCACATTTCTTAATAAACAAATGAGGTCGAAGCACTTGGTGTTTTGCAAATTACCTTTTTATTGGCTTTGATGATATGTGGAAGCACATACAAATTTGTTCCTACAAATTCAACATCGATTCCTTATTCTATTATAACATTAAATTCTATCTAATGGATTCTTTTTCCATTTCTTGATCCTAGCTAGTTTGCTTCTACTAATGATTGTGACTCACAAACATTAGTGTGAGCACTTTTTAATATTTTACAAGTTCTTTCAGTAGAGGAAATAAGCATTATTGATATCATGTTCGCAACAAATCAAACCATGTTTTTATGAGTATTCTACCCATTTAATTATAATATATTTACTAATCTATTATGCCCTAAAGACCAAGATTGCTCAACAATAAACAAATGAACATAATTATTGCAATCATACTTAATTCAGGACTATTAATTATTTAACTACAAACACTCCATTTTGATATTACAATCTTATTCTAATATAGCCTCAAACTTTTTTCCTATATGCAAAAACTATTTGTAAAATTTTCAGAAACATTAAGTACTACACTGTTTATTTCTTCGTTTTAAACTTTTTTATACACAAGATAAAATTTTTTAACTTCATAAAAAAAGCTCCCTTTCAACATCTTGAAATTCCCGTAAATTCAATTCCAAAAAATACGCGTACTACTGTCTTAAAGTAAATTGTATGCTGCCTTTAAGCATACCTTTGATGTGCTGCCATTTTAAAAAAATGTCAAGCAACTTACTTTTTAGTATATTTTTTATTATTAGATAAAATTTATTAAAAAAATCAAATTATATAATTTTCATTTTATTTTATTATTAAGGTTTTAAATAAATTTTAATTAATAATAAATAATATATTAAAAAAATATTACTAATATTTCTCGTATATTTATATTGTCAATTTTTAATGACATTATAAATATTTTTTTGTCTTTCAAATTTTACAATAAATTCATTCTCTTAAGAATGTTTTAACAATTTAAAAAATATTAGTAATATACTTTCTAATATACTGTTTTAGTACATTTTAATTATTGACTAAAATTTTAAAATTATAAAAATTATTTGAATTTTACTTTTTCTTAGTTTTAATTTAATGTTTCTCTTTTATACTTTTATAGATTTTAATAAATTTTACCTAATATTTAAAAGTGTGTTAAAAAGAGTATGTTAATAGTATTTCTTTGACAATTTTATCTGCATCTATGAATTTTAACTTTAAAATTAGTTTCTTTTGCTTCAATTCTTTCCAATTCTCAAATGTTTCAGAACACTTTCTACAATGATATTCTCAGTAGGGTGCTGCAATTTCTCTCTGTAATCATTCCAACTAGGAAGTGATTTTGAAATAATCCCATAGTTGAAGTGTTTAAAAAATTTCAAATATAAGGTTTTTAAGTTTTTTTTTTCTTGGTCAACAAGTTTTTTAAGTTTCAAAACCAAGTCATGTAATTTGTCTATATAAGTCGATACCATTGACCTCGATCACTTAGTCTTCAACTCCAAGTCATGAACTTACACGTTCCTTGCTCTTTCTCCCCTTTTTGAATAGCACTTCAATTCCGCTGCCTTCCAAATTTCGTTTGGAGAAAAGCTACTTAATAGTACAAATGATAAACCAAACAATCAATTATTCTATTCATGATGTCCCTTTGCATTGGAGGTCGTCTTTATTCAACGTATAATTATATTTAGATTTGAAATTGCAAGCAGAATTGTCATCATGGATATGAGATATTAAAAGTAACCAACACCTTATCATCATGGATATGACAAACTCTTGGCTTATGATTCCAAATACAACTTTTGCTAAAAACTCCGTATCTTAACAAAATTCGTCCTCTAATGGAGTTAATTAGGATAAGTATCATGAGTCAAGGCTCAAGAAATTGAACTCTAGCCACTTGATTTCTTCATGGTATCATTAAATTCCCAGGTACCCAAAAGTTCAAATCACTCATGACCGCAAACAGTATTCAAACATTGTATTCATAAACACGTTGCAGTCAGATTTGTCTGCAAAGACTAAAATTGACACAATTAACAACGCTTAGTACTCCTTAAATAATTACTAGTTGATAACTACGAAGTCATCCAAAAAATTAATTTAAAAAAGACTATAAGTTAGTATTCAGACGAGTATATTCTAAATGTAAATAAGTTAATCTAGTTCGAAACAGTAGACTTGAAAGGGTAGTTCAAATATGGTCAACAATAAATAATATGTACTAATTAATTAATATCTGATATCTTTCTATATTAAAAACAAATCCAGACGAATGATCAAAGGCTATTTAGGTGTGTGCGCGTGAGCTGTGAGCATGCATTCGCCGACCTTTGCGTCACCTTCTGGAGTATTCATCTTGTCCCTAAACTGAAACAAATTCTGAAAAAAAATAAAAAGGTGGAACATTGGCAATTTCACGACGCATTGTGTAGATTATGTTTTTGTGCACCAGCAATTAGTATCTTCCCATTTTAATTTGGGTTATTTCCTCTCTAAAAGTTAACCAAACATTCGTGAAAAAGCACCTAAAAAGCTGAAGAACTTTGTTGTTTAATTTTAAATAACGCTCAATTATAATGCTACGTAGGAAACAGACAAAAAGCTATAATTTTAATTAGTTGATGGATGGAATAAAATAATAATATTGCTAATAAACAATTGACAAATAGTTGTTAATATATATATATATATATTATATATATATATATATATATATATATATATATAACACGATGTTCTTTTTAATTCATTCTATCAAAATTTGGAAAAAAAAGTTTTATTTATATTATAAATTCATGAAATTAGATATTGAGATTATGATTTTAATTCTAAAAAAATTGTGATGTCATAATTAAAATTTGGTATAATTTCAATTTTGAATCCTAATTTCATGCAGAAAAGAGATACTAGATGAATCATTCGTAATGTTCTTTCATTTTGTCATTTAACCTGAATGTTATGATCACACATTACAATATTTAATGAACTTATCAATCACCTTAATTATGAATATCTTCCCACTCAGTACACGATGTATCGTAACATATGATAACTGCCCAATTACTATATATAAAAGGGATTAGTCCAACATACAAGCTTAGAAAAAGATAAAAATTCATAAGCTTCCCCTAATTAATCCTTGAAAAACAGACACTTGACTTCTCCCAAATATAAACTTAAAAGAGCTTAAACGAACATACATTATTTACTATACTAATCCATATTATTTCATATGCCTACTTTATAATTATTTATTATATTATTCATTACGTTCATCACTTTTTTAGTTTATTTTTTTATCCCTCTTTCTTTTTCATAACAAGTATTAGAATAATATACTCCTATAAAGACGTGAATCATCTTTATCCATTTGCTATAAAATAATAGAAATCAATCACATTCAATAAACGCGTCACGATGCTCAAATATAATTATAGGCAGCAGAAGAATTCTAATTGCAGTAAACAACATAATAGAAATAAATTAAGAACAATAAAACGCACTTGTGAAGCTCCTGAGTACGTTGGAAAAACCAGATAAACTAAAAAGAAACAGCCCAAGCAAAACAAACGTCAAACCCTTCTCCACACCCTCACACTTGTATATATAAACCTCCACGAGACCCAAAGCAATCAAAACCACCGAGAGAGAGATAGAATCTCTTATCACAGAGAGAGAGAGAGGCGATGAGTGAAACACAGGGAGAAGCATTTTCAGCTTACGAAGTGATGTCAAGTTGGTTAACACCCTCGTGCCTATTCATCATAATCAACCTCGTCATAGCAACCATAGCCATCACTTCTCGTTTCGCCAACCCCACAAAAAAACAACTCCAACGTTCTCCCTCCTTACTAGATCGACTCATGTCCTTCCGTTGCTACAAACACGAAACGTCAAACCCAGTTCAGACCCATGACGCACCCCGGTTCGACCGGGTTTCGTCGTCGTTGCTGGACCGGGTGAGGTCGTTCAATCTCGCCCTACACGAAGAGGATCCGAAACCCGACCCGAATGAGCCGACCAAACAGCAACTGACCCGCGCTCCCTCGCTATTGGAGCGGCTTATGTCGGTGAAGCTATACAGATCGGAGTCTGTGAAGGAACCTGAACCCGAACCCAAAGCTAAGGTTACGGAGGAAGAAGAGGAAGAAGGGGTGGATGCTAAGGCTGATGATTTTATCAATAGGTTTAGGCAGCAACTAAGGTTGCAGAGACTCGACTCTATTCTACGTTACAGGGATATGCTCAAACGAAACTGAAAAGAAAAGAAGAAGCCTTTGGATTCACCATTCATGATTAACTGAAAGACGGAGAAACATGTTCGCCACAGTGTGTGAATTGCGATCCTTTTTTCAGATACTTCATTCGTCGATCTTTCTGCATGGACACGAGAATTGGCCTAGCTCGTTGTTCTTTTGTGAAGGAATGGTGTTTTGCTCCAGTTGGCAAAACGTTCCAGTTTTTTTTTTTTTTTTCCCTCGGGGTTGAGATTCTGATTAGTTTGAACTGATTATAGTTCATAAACTGCATTTAATTGTATTATTCACAAGTCTGCGTTACTTCTTTGTTGCAATAGCGTTAAATTAGGAGAAACTTTTACTTGTAGAATGAATATGGATTGAATGTTAATGATCGAAAAATGAATGAGATGCAATGTTGTGAAAATATATGAATAATTTATATGTATCGCAAACGACTGGCGATAATACAATTTTTATACATAAACAATTCTTCCTCTTTCTTGCATTAAGAATAGTAAAATATTGAATAATGTTTTATTTTTAATTTTAAAAATAAAAAAAAATAACCATACAAAGATGACAGTATTATTATTTTAAGAGAAGGAACATGTTTTCCCGGAATGTTAAAAAAATAACCCTCTACATACATCTTGGAATTTTCGACATTGTTGAGCTCTGTTGTAAGTTGCAACTTGCACTTCCTTTACAATAAATTTTATCATTTTTTTTCTTTTTACCTTTGTCATATTTCTTGGCTTAGTCTCAAGGTAGTCAAAAAGTGTTTGCTCGGTAAGTAATTCAGATTATTAAATACTACATAGCCACCCCGGTTCACGCGCTTAGTAATATGTACTTTTCCCCTTCAGAAAAGACTGAGTTTACAATATTCACCAATGGATTAACGTAACGAATTATACAATAAAAAACGTGCAGGATCACAAGCTCAATATATGAATAATATATTTTAATGCTTAAAATTTTAAGAATCACTTTTACTCTGATTTTGTAAAATAACATTTCCAGTAACACTTTTATAATGTAAAATAGCAATAACTATATATAAAAAAAAACAAAGTAAAAAAAATAAAAACTGACATAGAAGGAAGAGCTTAATTGATTTATATTATGGTTTTACGTTCAGGACCCTAAACCCCAAATTATTCTACACCTACGGCAGAAGATTCGGCGAGGGCAGGTTACATAAAAACTAAATAAAATTAAACTTAGCAATTTAGGCAAGTAGAGCGTTTTTCCCCGCAACGTAGCATCCTTTGATAATTAAAAACCTTAATGAAAATACAAAAATTAAACAAACCATTTCTTGCTTTTGCCTCAGCACGCACACCATTAATTGAACAATAGCTTAATTTAAACTACATATGCTCATGTCCACCAGGGCCACGTTACTCTTTTCTTTTTCTTTTTGGGGGGTGGGGGACTTGAATGGCTAAAATTACTTTAAAACATTTACTAATAAGTTTATCAGCCTCTGACTTCAAAAGTACAGTAATATAGCAGAGTCTAGCCATCAGTCCTAAGTTTTAGAGCCAAGATATCAAAATCAAGCAGCTGGAACCTTTCTCCCATCTTCTATAAAGAAAATTGCTGTTTCTGGAACCTGCAAGAGGAATATAGATTTTCAATCATATAAAACTTCTATGGAACTAATTGCATTAACAAAGAACCATTGACATGTATTATACAGATTTGGATCAATTAAACAGAGGACCATGGAACACGTGCTCAATGCCTCTTTTAGTTAGAGATCCATATTCTCCCATACATACAAGCATACCTTCACCCTGGTATCTTGTCTATATATGAGCACAGGGCATGTTTTATGTGGATTTTACTCTCTTTTTTTATGGAGCTAAAAAGAATAGGAAGAAATATTTTAAGAATAAGAAATTTCTCTTGATTGGTTGAAGAGAGAATAACAAGAAAAAGAGAAAGGAAGAAACCTAAAGAAACAAAATTTTGTCACCAGCTTTTTCTTCCTTTAAAATTTCAAAGAAATTTCTCTTTAATTTCCTTTTCTCTCATCCAAACCAAAATGGTTAGTAAATCTTCGAGTATTTTTACTTTATTCCTATTCAATTTCATGGAAATTACAAGCTTCCTTTTTTTGCCAGGGAACGAAGGCAGTTATAAAATGATGGCAACTCCTGTTTTAAAATTATGCATAACATAGAAAGCATGTGAAGTACATCTGAAAAGACTCATTGTATCTAACTACGACACAAGATGAGTTCTACTTTGGTTTATTGAATTATATCATTTAAATTTGTCCAAAAGAGTGGGTTTAGGAATAGAAGTCAACAAAAATCGAAAACAAATTTCAATATCGACACTTTCAATAACAATAATCAGGCTTAGCTTAGTCAATGGCATTTTTTAGAAAAAAAACAGATGCATTTTAACTGCTAATATCAACAAAATCCATTTTCATACAAAATTCATCATTAGTATTATATATATATATATAGAACAGAAATTACTGAAACATAACTATTTTTTAAAAATGCTTCTTTCACTGGCTGCTGGAAATACATACATATTAAATCAGATTATAATGCCAAAAACCAACATTGTCATCAGCTAAATCAGAATCACTTACATCAGGCCATGTTTCTGTAATGAACTCCACAATGTCATAAGCTATATCCCCTTGAACATCAATTTGTTCTTTCTCAGTTGGGCCCTGACACCAATCAATCCACCATATTATAAGACATCATATCTATATGCAAAACAAGAAACAACTATACATGGGTGTTTGAATTAGTTTATTTTTTAGGGTCCAAATATTTTTAGTTGCTTCCTGAAATAGCTTTTGAAAGAAAAAGGAAAACAATTATTTCCCAGAAAAAAGGGTCCCCAACCCCAAACACACTACATGTTCACCATCTAAAAATCAGTAAACCTTGACAACAGAAGCTCCTGTAGCAAATTTTTTCCCAAGTTTCTTTGAAGCATCACTGAGCTTGACACCTGAAATGCAATAAGATAGACTGGGTTAAATACAAATGAACTTAAGGTTACATTTGAATTGATAGTTAATAGAAACGGATGCAATGACAATGAATGAAATCATGTGAGTAGCCATTTTTGGATTGTGTAGGATGGAATGGAACCATGAGGAATCTATTCTATCCAGAGATATCAATAGTGCACTTTTGCTGTGGGACTCTGTGAGATAGTGCTGCTACAGTGGGGCAAAGAGAAAACCTCAACCAAAAAAAGTGAGGCAGGGAGAAAATCCACTAATGCCCTTGGAACAATGTGTTCTGGGCCTTTTTTAGAGAGTTAAAGCTGACTTTTCCATTCTATTTCAGAACATTAAAAATTCTTAACCCAACTATTTTCCCACACTTCTCATCTCTTCTGTTTGAGACCTCTCTTCTCTCAGTTCAGCCTCTGTGCAACCACAGCCACCCATCTCCAGTGATTTTTTCTGGCAACACCCACACTTCACTCCTCTCTGCTCTGCATCTGTTCTGAACCCTAAACGCTCAACAACCTCCGTTCTTGATTTTGCCACGTATTTGCTAGATTTTTTGCACTGGCCGCCATCCCCCTATGCACTATACCACTAGATAGCATTTTTGTGGTCAACCACTATGAACCATTATCCAAGTTCGATACCCATGTTTCTATCCTATTCCATACAATACCTTTTGTTTCTTCCTTCCCTCTATGAACCTAAATTTGGAGAATATGAATCGAACTAACTTGTTTACTAACCACCTTACAATTCCTTTTACAGAATGAAAAGTTCCCTCCATTTCATCATAAAATATCTATATATGGTACAATAAGTTTATTCCATTCCATTCTGTTCAATTTACATTCCATTTGTCATTAGATATCCAAATAATGCTCAAGAGAAGAACAGAAATAGCTCACCGAAAAGTTCCAGGCCCTTCACAGTGGTAATACACTTTCGCTTGTTTCGTATGACCTTCTCAATAACAACCTCTTGCTTCTCCTGAAAAAAAAAAGCCACTTCTGATCATATCGAATAACTGGGAATCATGACATTCAGGATCAACCAATGAGTACAATCAACAGTGTGTTAAAGAATTCCAAGACATACCTTTTTCTTAATCTTCCCACCAGGAAGACGTTTCACCTCTTCTTGCTTAGGTGCTAAAACATCAAATCAAAACACACCATGAGAAGGACTTCAAAAATGATTTTGTTTATAACCAATTAACAAGCAATAGGAAACAAAAACAACAATCACTAAAATTACATAGAGGAGTGGTTAAAATACACTGTATATAACACACTCTCATTTATTAGTTAAAATTTATCAGAAACTATAAAAGCAAGAGTGAGAATAAATAAATTAGGAGTAGGACTCGCATAGTTTTTGGTGATTATGAATAAATTTCAACCAATAATATAAAATGTGTTGCTAGCATTTATCAAATACATATTATAGAATGCCAAACAAAATATCTAAATTAAAGGTGACACACTGACATGTTAATTCAGAAATTTAGGAAACTTTCACCTTCTTCAATCGCATTCCCATTAAATAATAACAGTAATAAAAACTGACCTGAGGAAGCGGCTCCATCACTACCTCCCGAAGATATAACAGTACTTTGTAGCTTGTCAGCAACTTTATCAGCTTCCTTTTCATTAGCCTCTGAAAAATCAAATAATAATAATAATAATAACAATAAAATCGCATTTAAAATTAAAAACACAAGTAAATTGAGGGAATTTTGAATTATTGTTGTCACGAAAAAATTAAAAAATTGATTCAACAGAAAAGAAGGAGTACCTTTAAGAAGATCGGGGTATAGGTCGGGGACATTTTGGATCAACCAGGGTTTGCATTTATCGAAATCGGATCCGAATTCGCAGTATTCAGGGGGTAAGCTGCATACACCGCAGTACATGGCCCGAACCGGTTGGGGTTTCTCTGCCATTGTTGCGCACCCACTTCTCCCTTGTTAGAGACTGAATAAAACGGTGCGTTTTCGCCACGCAGCTCTAGAAAAAGAGGAAGCGTCCAGAAGCACGGTGGTGGAGGGAGGCTTTGATCAATGATGATTGTTTGATACGTTGTCGTTTTCAGAACCTCTCCACTTAAAGTAAAAGATTTTTTAAAATTAATTAATACATTTTTTGAAAAAAACTAAAATGCTTTCTTTTCAATAAGGTTCAAAAGTTAAGGGTTTTTGTTAGAATTCAATTAAAGTATATTGATAATGTAAATATCCTGTCATAAATTGTTATATTAACAAAATTTATTAATTTTTTAACAATTAATTTAAAATTATATTTACTGTGATATTAATTTTAAACCATATAATTTTTTAAATTAATATTATATAAAAATTAATCTTCTTTATTTTAATCTATGTTACTATTTATTAATGGAGTTTGCAGAATTTGATCCGAATATTTTATATTTCTAAAAAATCCAAATGTTTATGATAAAAACAAAGGCTTATTATAAGGGGAACTTAAGGAGACAATGTCAAAGGACCTTTCTCATTTCTTTTTAAACTAAAGGAGTTTCAGATTCTGTCAAATAGGATTTTTTTTTATAAAATTTGAATTTAATTAGGTTGAGAATATATTTTTATGTTTTTTTTATAAATGATTATGAAATATTATTTTTCTAATTATTTATAAAATAAAATACTCAAACTATTTAAATTCAAATATTTTATAAAAAAGTAACTATTTTCCTATATTTATAAAAAAATGATAAATAATTATTTATAAATGTTGAAATAAATATTATAAAATATTTTATTATTTGTATTAAATTAGAAATATATTTAATCATAATATTTTTTATTAAAAATATATTCCTCCATTTATTATCTTATATATCTTTTACAAAACCTTTTTTTGACATAAAATTAATAATAAGCCTCCTGTGTGTGTTTGTGTGTTAAAATAGGTTTCAGTATTAAATTAAATATAGGTTTATTTAATTTTGGTTCTTTGAATTAAATTTAGGTTTCAGTATATTTTTTAATTTTTTATTCAATTTAATTTTCTATTTTTTTGTCAATTTTTTTACTTTATTTCATCTCTTAACTTAACAAAAATTATTTAATAATAACATTTTGGATTAAATCTTCTGTACTCTATACCTCCTGTACATTTTATTATCAAACCATTGTCCAAAATACTCAATGTCACTAATGATTCCTTAATTTCTCTTAAATATTTCCTAACTGCTTATTTTTTTATTTTAAAAAAATATCTATTAATCACAATAAAACCATTATCATTGACAAAATCTCATGCACGTGTCATTGCCACTATTAATAATTTTCATTATAAACTCATGTATTAAATACAAAATTTGACACTAAATGATAACTTTATGGATTTAAGTTTAATTTTAAAAATTTAGAGAATTCAATCAAAACTCAAATTAGACTAAAAAATTAAAATATTAAATTGAAATTAAAATTAAATTTAGAAAACAATAATTATTCTTTTACTTGATTATTTAATTCATTATTAACTAAGTTAGCTGATAAATCAACTTCCCTTTTCCCATCACGTGATGAGTAAACTGAGCCTGTGTCTTCAAAATCTTTCGAAATCGTTAGGGATTGACATAGTGAATATTCATTCAAACATGGGAGTTGTGAATGTTTGTTCACTATTTAAACCAAACCCTTTGAATTAGTTAAGTTAATCTTTTATGTATATAATTAGTAAAATAATGATTTGAAGTTTTTTTAATATCACTAATAAAAACTTTCAAAAGCAAATAAATTATTTTACATTTATCTAAAGGTTAATCTCTTTAATATATAAAGATATATTACTAAAAGAAGTTTACTAATTATAATTTTAGCCCCTTGTTAATATGTTTCACAAATCCAATTAACTAGGTAGACTTTTATTGGTGGCTGCGGGATATCTATTTGAATACTAGAAACCATGGATTTTGTAAATTAATAAAAGTCTTTACAGAATCTGCTTCACGTCATGTTGCATGCCATAGAAAACGAGAGGAGGATCTCTTCAACTTTACTTCAACGAACTTAATTTCTCATAAAACAAATTAATTAATATAACGGGCTTAATGGGGAACCCAAAGATTACCCCTTGATCTTTCGCAAGTATAAAAATGAATAAATCTAGCTTTAAATATCCATTCAAATTTAAACAGGTTTAAACATGTATATAATTAGTATGAGAATTATTTTAATATTTATTTATTTATACTTTCTAGTTAAAAAAAAATGCATGCTGATAATAAAAACACACTATTAGTATCATAAGCATCTGGTTTGTAACATGTGGTGAACAAGAATTCCACAATTTTATACTTTCATCATGCATAATCTCATGAATCATGAATCTCCATAATAATGTTAGCATGACAATGTGCAGTTGTTCTGCGTTATTTATTTATTTATTTATGTACGCATATACAGATATTAATAAATTGATATTTTTTATTATGTCACTTGAAAAATTATTTTCACTGTCTTAAATATCATAACTATATAAAATTTTAAAAATCCATATATAATCATCTTAGTTGCCTTGACCAGGACGTCTATATTAAATTAGATTTGAAATTATAAATTCATGTTCAAATTTATCCTTTAATATTATAATTTTAATTTCAATCAAATTCATTTTATTGACCAAATTAGATACATAGAATGGTAGAAGTCTAATGAGATAACACATGCTGGTCTTCAGAGAATCTGTTTTGTGATCATTCTATTTTTATCTATATCAAGAATAATAATTTTAATACGCATCAAACACATCAAGGAGTGCGTTTTCTCCTTCCTGTTTCTCCACACATTTGCAAACTATCTCTATATATACACGCCAATCGGAAGCAATACCACATTGCCAAATTAACTATTCTTCCCTCCCAAAAGAAATGGTGAGGAATTTTATGTTTTCAAAAGCGATGACTCTACTATGGTTCTCCATCTTAATGCTCACAGCAGCACAACCACGACCATGGTCAGCATTCCAAGCACCAAAAGAGGTAGCCTCAAAGCTTAGTCGTAATCCTCAAACCCTTTCACTAGCCTCAACCGATTATGGCCACATAGTTCATGAAACCCCTTGGGCAGTTTTTGAGCCATCACACGTTAATGATATCATGTCCTTGATAAAATTCTCAAACTCTCTTCCCACACCTTTTACTATAGCCGCAAGAGGGCAAGCCCACTCGATTCTTGGACAAGGCATGACACAAGATGGGGTGGTGCTGAATATGACTAAGCTTAATGGTATTAGAAATGGGTCTGGAATTGTTATAGTGTGTGATTTTGATGGGAAGAAGAGTCCATTGGGTTGTTATGGTGATGTGGGTGGTGAACAAAAGTGGATTGATATGTTGCATGCAAGCCTTGAACGTGGACTCACACCTCTGTCTTGGACTGATTACTTGTATTTGACGGTTGGTGGCACACTTTCTAATGCTGGGATTAGTGGCCAAGCCTTTCGATTTGGACCACAGATTTCCAATGTTCTTGAGTTGGATGTTGTTACAGGTATGACTTACCCAATTCTCTCTGTCAATTAATTAACTAAAGAGTTGTGCTAAGAAAAATTACAACCATTAATAGAAAGAGCTCAAGATTATAGATACCAGTACTTTTTTTTATTGTTAAAAATTAACATTATTTAGAGTGAGTTTGTACAACTTTATAGACAACTTATAAGTTATTTTTAGTTTATTTTATTTAACAATTTTTTATAACTTGTTAAATTAAGTTATTTTTATTTTATTATAACAGTTTAATAGTCAAATTTATAGTATAAATTAAAATTTTAAAAAGAGATTCTTAAATAAATATCTAAATAAATAAGTATCTACTTTAATAAAATTTTAAAATCAAAGATATAAAATAATAACATAATATATTCATTCCTTATTTACTATCATTAATATGATATGTAATTCTATTAAATTTGAAAAAAAAATCTCTTTAATTTTAAAGGAAATATAAAGGATATACGTTTGTGAAAAATAATGATATATAATATCATATTTAATATTAATTTTTTGTAATTTCAAATATTAAAATTATTCTCCTTAACTAATTTACTTGTCCCCCATGCAATTACCTTAAAATTTTATGCTAAATGCAAGATAAATTATTTTCTGGACTATTACAACCGATTTTAAATAATTTTAACTATTTCACAAAAATAAAATTAAAAAATATTTAATTTCTTAATGTCATTTAATTTATCAATAAATTTAAATAATTTTTAAAAATTTATTCTTAAATTTAATTGAGACTCGGTGTTTTACTATCTAGCTACTTAACTAATTACTTTATCTCTATAAAATTTATTTTTTAGAAAATATGCAAAAACAAGAAACTTATAATGAAACTCTTAGCCATGACAAACTTCGATAATTTGAAAGTTCTTATATTTAGAACTATAGATAATACTTGACAAAGTAAACTAATCAGGATAAGTTGCTATATGCATAAAATTTATAATTCTTTTCGTTTCCCTAAATATTTTATCACTAGATAAGTTAAGATATGCTAAGATATTAAAATCGAAACCCCCTCTCATTTAATATTATTAAAGGCGCAATTAGGCTTAATTGAAAATTTTATGCTTATGTTATAACTTCTTTAATGCAATTCTAAATATTGAATTAGGATTAAATTTATTAATAATATCAATTAAGTGTGTGCACATCTATATACAGACATAAGTTACATCAATTTGAATATCAATAATAACTTTATACATAATATATTATTTTTCAATTCAGCAATAAAATTATAATTATACATATTATTACAATTATATGCATTAATGTATATAAATTAAAAGTTTCTTTTATATATATGTGTGTAAAATGTAGTTAATTTACATATAATTAATGATTATTTGAAAATAAAATTATTCAATATTATTAAATGATACAAAATTATGTGTGATTCACATCTGTATAAATTAATTGTATTTATATAAATATAATGCATGCATTTACACACACAACATTAAATATTGTTTATATATATATATATAAACAAAACATTTTGGAAATGCTGGATACATTATAAGAAGTTCCCATATATATGACTTTATTGAATCAACTCAAATCTAAGAAGATATAGCTAACTCGAAATATAGCCCCATCGTCATATTTTTCGTTGTCTCGTTCAGAAGGAAATCTGACCGTACGTGTTATTAAATTCAATGCATGGAAAGTCTTAACAAGTTAGGTATCTGCTTATAAGATTTGAAAGTTGAAGAGAACATATATATAATTCCAGAAAAAGCTTTACAAGTTAATTAGGTACCTGATTTTACGATTTGAATGTTCTTAGGACTCAACTAGCTCAACACACTTAAGTAACAGGTTTAAATCTTCATATACAATAGAATTAACATCTTGAACAATAAATTTAGATTAAACTATTATTATGATCTCCGAAAGAGCTTGGACCTTATATTTTAGTTTCTAAAAAATTTAAAATATCACGTTAGTCTTTATTTTTATCTTTGTCATATATTTAAGTTTCTAAATTTAAACATCATTAATAGATAATAACAGAATGTTGACATATCATATTAATTGACACGTATCATTACTTACGTGGTAAAACGATGCTAACATGTCATATTAAGTAACATATATTATTGATTACGTGACAAAATAGTAATTTAAGAATTCTTATAAATTATAATGATTAATAGAAGTTTCTGAATTTATAAAAATAGTATTATAGTTTCATAAAAGTTATTATATATAGGTCATTTTAATCTTTATTGTATATTTTTAAGAATTAAAATTAATTAATGACTACTATTATGTATAGGTATTTATAATTTTATGAACGAACTTAAAGTATTACTTGCTGTTTGGAGTGGAATATAATTTTTTTCAAATAAAAAAAAAATCTATGATATAAACTATTATTGACTGGTTTTTAGATTTTGAGTCTTGATATACCAATTATATTTAAACTCAATAAAAGACCTTTTTTTAATCACTTTTAATAGCCCTTTCGACTCAAATTCGAAAAGAGTGGGTTAAACTTCATAAATATTTAAAAAGTTACTAAGAGTTATCTAATTTTATTTGTTTTTCCATTTTAGTTACATTGTTAAAGTATAGCTTTGAAAATCAGACACGGTTGGTCTGTTCAACTGGAAACCAGTCACATCATGGTTATGCACCAAAAATTGCTAAAGAAAAAATTTGGTCAAAATTCACTTAAACTGGCTAAGAATCAGTTAAAATTAATTATGAACCTTATTAATGAATTGATATTTTTAAAATAAATTATTTTTTTAAAATTATTAATGTTAAGATATTTTTAAAATAAATATAAAGTCGTACATAAATGTATACATGAATTGATATTATTTAACTATTTTATAAATTTTTTATTATATAAAATATTCAATATAATGTTTTATATTGATTTAAAATTTTTACTTCAAATTTTAAAATTATTTATTATTTAATATTAAAAATATTATTGAATTATCATCAATCTGACTTCAACTTAACTATAATTAATTTACTAAACCTTGAAATAATATATCTGTTAATTAAATTACTAGTCTTATTAAAAAAAAGTTTCAAAATAGGAAGGGAGCATGCATCTAAGATTTATTTTGTTTGTGAATTATTTAATTATTTATTTTAAATTTTTATCTTATAAAATATATTATAATATTATATATTTTTATACTGATTTTTCATAATCGATTTAATCTTAACTTAACACAATTAAATAATTAAATTTGGAACCAATTTCTTCACTAATTCAATTACTGATCAGATTTTAAAGAATTAGTAAGGGAAGGGGAACAGGCCGGCTTATATTGTTTGTGAATCTCCACTATATTAGGAGTGGTACTTCGTTTAAGGTTATTTCTTGAAGAAATTTATAAAACCCGAATCTATATAATAACTAAAATATTAAAGAATCAGTTAAATGTAATTGTCGCGTGATTTCACAGCATATTTATCAAGATTCTACGACAGTCAATAATCAAAGAAAGACTGCGACATGAAACACAATGCAACTTGCTTCGATTAATTGCATATACCCTTTTATTCAATCTCTTCAAGTCAGTCAAATTTAGTTAATTAGCACGTCTTCGTGTCTTGCTTGCCCTACTATCTCTCTATCTTCCCTACTTTCTGTAATGAAAATAAAGTTCTTTCTTCAAAGTCTAACAATTTAAGTGTATTATTATTCTTTAACTAATCTAAAGATGATCTCCTTAAGAAAAACCACGTTAGACAGACATTTATACATTAATTTTAGAATATTATATGGTGTGAAGATTTTGAAATTCAATTACTTGTTGAATATATCTTCTTTGTATAATTTTTCTGTAGCTATAAGAAAGATAATATATGTAGGAAACAACTCACCGAAATACATCGTTTTACAAAAATAGAAAGGGCAATTATGGATAATGATTGACATTATAAATTAAAGAGAGATTAAACTTTTGCATTTATGAATTACTTAAGCTTGAAAATCTTGCTCATTTGGATTAATAAAGTACAAGGTGTACTCAACCCACATATAAAAACTAACACATTTGCAGATGCATTATTTGGCTTTTATAGGGAAAGGAGACCTTGTGACTTGTTCTGCGGAGACGAACTCAGAGGCATTTTATGCCGTTCTTGGCGGATTAGGTCAATTTGGGGTGATAGTAAGAGCAAGAATAGCTCTACGACCTGCACCCACCAAGGCAAGTATTTCGTATAGATTTTCTTTTCTGCATAAAACCACCAATATTCTGTTTATTTTGGGGGGGAAAAAGGAGAAAAAAATTATAAGATAATAAAAAGAGAATGAAAAAAAAAACTCTTTAAATTTTTAAAAAATTTAAAAACATAAATTTGTAAGAAGATTTATAAAAAAATTTATATTATTTAAAAAAATTCAAATAAAGTTACTATTACTTGAAGAGTAAAAAGTGAGGATGAAGATATGAAAAATTCTTACATGAGTTTGGAAGAGGTTTGAAGATTTTATAGAATCTTACCTTTCCATTTAAAATTTTGTAAACAAATGTTACTATTAATTTTTTTTTATTTTCTCTTTCATCTCGTTCTAAAATTAACTCACAGATAATAGCTAAATAAATATTTTTCTTCTCTCTTTTCTTTGTTTAAATTATTCTCAAACAAATCTTAAAAAATTAAATTAACATTCACGCCCACTCCATTCTTATTCTCAATTCACAATCACAAATTTGAAAGCTGATTTGTTCGTTTTGTTTGAATGCGGTCACTAAATTATATTAAAATAATTAGCTGCTAGCCAGTTACACCGCCTAGCTAATTCAGCTGTAAAAGTTAATTCTGTAAGATGACTTTTTATTAAATTTATCGGAAATTCTTCTGTAACTTCTAATTCTACAAGAACAGAACATGTAATGACTAATATTTATATGATAAAATTTTAATATTTAATAATATTAAATTTTATAATTTCTAATAAAAATTTACATTTTTTATATTTTTTTAAGTATATATTAGAAAAATTAATATTTACATATACATGTCATTTAATTGGAACATAAATATAACAAATTATTATTTTTTCCATAAACTCATAACATTATGTAATCCCACTAATTTTTTAAAAAACTTGTACCAAATTCATGGATGAACTTTCACCCATATATTTACGTAAATGTACCAATGTAACTAACATCGATCAAAGTTAATAATCCTTTTAATCAAAAGCTTTGTTTAAGGTGGTTGCAGGTGAAGTGGATCCGACTACTTTACAATGACTTCACTGCATTTTCCAGAGACGAAGAACATTTAATCTCGTTCAATGAAAATAATGACACTAATGCAGCAGATTATGTAGAAGGCATGCTTCTATTGAATCAGCCGCCACTGGATCTTTCCTTTTATCCAGTTTCTGATAAGCTAAGGATAAATTCCCTCGTAACTCAATACGGCATTATCTACATCATAGAGCTAGTCAAATACTATGACAACAACCCTCAAGCACACGTCATTGAGGTAACTTGAAAAACATGTCGTTTTTGTTATCTTGTTAATTCGGAACCATTTTTTTTTTTTAACTTTTTTTTATAGTATATAGGAATTTATTAAAAAAAAATCACTGTGTCAAAATGTGAAAGCGCAAAGGGTTCATGTTCAACTATTTTAAGTGTAACTGAAAACAAAACCACAGACTAGAATACATTAAGATAAATAATTTAAATTTAGTATATATTTTTTTTATCATTAAGAGCTTACCATAAATTTAAATATAAAATTTGTTAAAGTAAATAAAAAGCTCTTTTAATGAACTATAACGATAAATTTATTTAAAAAATATATATATATTTTACTCTCTATAGACTCTTTTAAATATCTCTAGCTAATCCTCGCATTTGATAAGAAATTTGTTTCGATGAATCCAAAGAGACCAGACGTGACAACAACTGTCACATTTAAATTAAGATTTTTCTTTCTTTTCTTGTTTATTAGTTTCACTGTAAAACAATTTTTAGGTAAATTAATTATCTTTCTTGAATAGGAAGTTGAAACTTTGGTCAAAGGGTTAGAATATGTTCCTACATTCATGTTCGAAAAAGATGTGTCGTACGAGGAGTTTCTGAACAGAGTTCATGGTGAGGAGCTAGTTCTGAGGTCAAAAGGACTCTGGGAATTTCCTCATCCTTGGCTGAATGTTTTCGTTCCAAGATCTCGAATCTCGGATTTTAATGAAGGCGTGTTCAAGGGCATTATTCTTAAGCAAAATATTACTGCTGGAACTGCTCTAGTGTACCCCATGAATCGAAACAAGTAAGTATATCATAACATTTAAAATTTAATTTTTTTTATTGTGTGTCTAAGAATACATAATAATAATAATAATAAAAATTATATAACTCTTTCAATTTTTTATAAAGTGCATTCAATTAATTAAATTATATAGATTAGCAAATGAAGTTAAAATTAGTTATTTTTATTAAAAATATTATGACATGATAAATGTGCTTTTATTTAATATCATTAAACCTAATTCTACTCTCAAAATTTACTTTGTTGACTTTAATTTAGATTTCTTATCAACTTAATAAATGTGTCTTCTAGAAAGGTTTAGGAGGATTAAGTTGTTGTTGAAAATAATATATATATATATATAACATCAAATGTTATAATTATTAATAAAAAAATTATTATTTGTTAAATTTTGATTATATGCCGGATATATATTAGAAAAAATCTTGAAATTTTAAAATGTTGTTATTGGTAGTCTAAATTAATTGCATGTCTCTTTACGTCTCCCTCTTCAATATAACAATGACCCTTTAGGAAGAGAGAGGAGTGAAATACTTTTTTTTTCTAATTATTAAAATCTTACCTTATTTTTCATTTTTAAATTCGTAGGTGGGATGATAGGATGTCAGCAGTTACACCAGACGAAGATGTTTTCTACGTTGTAAGTCTTTTGCATGCTGCAAGTGGGTTTGAACAGGTGAAAACATTTCAGGCTCAAAACCAACAGATATTACAGTTTTGCAAGGATGCTGGTATCAAGATCACTGAATATCTTACCGGTAACAAAACACATCAAGAATGGGTGGAGCACTTTGGCCCAAAATGGAAACTTATTGAAGATAGAAAAGCTCAATTTGATCCCAAAAAAATATTGTCACCTGGACAAGGGATTTTCAAATGAACCAATAGACATGCACTAGGTTCATTTATCTGTATGGGTGCTTATTGTATTTTAATTTGCCGAGTGTGTTTAGAACTACGCACTGATTTCATTTGTTAGTGCAATCTGTAAGATGGAAATTTATAAAATAAAAAGTAAATTAATGTTTTTTAGTTAATAAATATATCAAATGAAAAAATATAAAAAATAATATGCTCAATTTCGGTGGCTCTCATGATGTGATTAGATTTCCAATTGCACATGCTATATGACCATCATAGTTTGGTCTGTACAGTAGTAGTTTGGTATACATAGCCACCCTTTCTACCTTGTTGCTTGGCATCAAGCGTCACCGTTTGAATAAGTAGTTTAATTATAAAATTGTAGCCTAGAGCTATAGCTTCATGAAACCGTTTGAATTACAACTGCAACAGTTTCGGGGTAACTTAAAACTCTTTATGTACTATCAATGAATGGCCTGACTCGCATTGAGTCGACCCATTTCAAGAATTTTGCTTGGTCAAATTTATGTTTGTGTTTTAAAGTATAAGTTAGTTTAAACATACATTTATACTTGTGATGTATCAAGCCAGCTCAAATTTAATGAAAAAGAACCCTGATAAATCAAATTAAAATATTTAAAATTAATTCAAACATAGAATTTAAAACTCAATTCCTATTATAAATTTACGAGCTTAAACAAGCCGACTGCTAAACTGATCATTCAGCCAACTCTTCATTGCCGGTACTGAAAATGTTAAATACAAAAAATGAAAAAAAATTAAGAGATAAAAACAATTAAACAAAATGATATATATATAATATTAATTTTTAGTGGTTTGAATGTATTAAAAGAGATACGCTATCTAGATGAAACTTATGAATTTTGATACCTAAAATTTTCTAGTGGTGTCCGTTCTAAGTAAGTCTGGCTTACACGTACACATGCAGTTGTGTTGCATAATAATCACGTGAAAAATTAATGGACCACTTTGACAAACATATGAGGCCTAAATTTAGAAGGAACCACTACATTTCCTTCGAGAATTGATTTGTTTGGAACTGACGTTGCTGTCATCCACGTATAACGACAATAGCAAATAACACGTATGTAACGTGGTCCGGGACCTAGAGCAGCTAAACTCACCATTTTCCTCCTACATTTTCTTCATATTTGGTAACGTGTTGATAAATATGCGTGTAATGTAAAAGCACATCATTTTTCACATATGTTCGCCTTTTGATTTTCACATCAATTAGGACAGCTTGCATTTGACAAATCAGATCGATTCACAAGGGATAGAGGCCATTTCATAGCCAGTCATTGTTTGCTAGAAAGATGAACATTTTCTCATCAATTTAATCCAATTGCTCTCTGTGATGCTACATTTTTCACGTGTTAATTTGTTCTTTCCAAGTTAAAGGAGGTTTATATGTGGGAGAAGAAGCGGAATCATGGTCTCTCAGCTACCTTTTGAACTTCTAAGTAAATTGGATAGATGTGTATAGTCTTAAACAACTTTTTAGTAGCTGTAAATATTTTTTTTGTGTTTTGGTTATTTTTTTAAAATGTGTATTTCAGCTTTTGTATCATGGTGTCTAAACTTGGGATTTATGATTGACTAAAATGAATATGTCTCCCGAATTTTGAAGCTTGTATTTTATTACTCAAGTAGAATTTGTTTTCTCGAAAACATAATCGTCAAGACTCCAAGTTGTTCTTCTTGTATAAAATGATTTCAAGAGTTTAAATCTTAAAAATATCACGATTGGTTTACAAAATCATTTTAAAATTTATAACAACATTGTCAAATGGTCTTCAAAATATATTTTGACAATTTATTATTATATGATGAACAATAAAAGAGTGCTTGTTAAAAGAGTGCAACCAGTCAAGATCTCAAAAAGATTACCTAATCTTTTAGACGGTCTTACGTCATGCAACTAATGTATACTTATATCAACATATTCATTTCCATATGTCTTAATTTGTTTCAATCATGAAAATACATCATACCACATTAACCATTTTCACACTCATTAACCTTTTAAAGTCATTCACCATGCATACATATGATCCATCACTTCATCTGGTAAAACTTTGGATAACTTTTAGTTATCTAAAGCCCATTACGCTATTTAAACAATATAGGATGATTGAAGTTTTTAATAACAACTCACTCAAAACTTAAGTATAACAACATAATAATAATAATAATAATAATAAAAAGTATACTTAGTATAAAATTGAGTTATCGACAAAAATAATGAAAGCATATGAAACCTTTCTCTTGACTTCCATTTTATCATTTGTATTAATATTTAGAGATTTTTTCACTCTAGACCTAAGATGTTCTCCTAAAATAATTCAAGAACACCACGGTGGCGTTTCCCCCTAACATTACTAAAGTCTTTCGTATCAAAATAACTATTCAACAAAAGTTTTATCTCGACCAAAAAATTTAATGTTATTGCTAGTTTGGGAGATATTATCAATTATATAAGGCAAAGGTGATAAAATATGTCCACTACTTTTTAGGTAAATGTCATAATTTAAAGTATTTTTTAAACTTTAAATAAAATAACTACTTGATTAAACTTTAAGTAAAATTGTAAGAAGACCTATTAAAATACAAGTGGGACTTTAAAAAAATTCTTAAAGTAGAGAGAAAATTATATATTAAAAGAATATGAAAATATATTTAACAAAATTAACTTTTTTAACTAAACAAAAAGAAAGGAAAAAGCCGGATCTGTTAGATTTGATTTTAGTTTTTTTTTTCTTGTTTCGTGTTTCAAAATTATTTTTCAAATAAACTTTAAAACCTGTTTCAAGGTTGTCCGAAGATTTGCATGTTTTTTAAACAGTTTCAAGCTAGGGGTGTCAGTGACATATCTTTCCTAGAAAATGGTCATCATCGTATATTGTCATGGATATTTGTTGGGAATCAGGTTGTGGACCACATGGCGATTCATGAACAGAGGTTAGGAGTCACATATAGTTGTGGGGGCTTGATGGGTCTTGGTTGTGGTGGCAGTAAAATGCATGGGTGGCACAATAGTTTTCTTATGTTGTGTCGACAAATGCTGATAAGGTTGAAAGCAAGTCGTCGGCATGGAAGACAGAGGGGGCTTGTTTTCTGGGCTCGTTTGGTTGTTGCTAGAGATGTTGTCGTAAGTGTTGTTGTCGATTTGAATTTTGGATGAGATTTCTTGGTTTTGTTCGAGATGTTATGACATTGTACCAGCACATGTTGTGTTCAATGTTGTGGCCATGGGCCTCTTCTTGATACATGTTTTGATTCTGCATGAGGGATTGGTAGATGAAAGAACAGGATGAGAGGTTACAATTGGATTCATGGTGTTCCAAATTCATTTTTTTGTTACAAAATTGCCATTCATGCATTGACTCATTTACACAATTACCACCTTGAGAACAAAAGAATGTTTTCCGAATCATTTTTAACTTGTTTCTAAATGTACATTTTGAAACTTGTTTTTAAAACTTCATTAAATTTATCATTTATGAAATATTTTTTTAAAAAAATAGTAAAAACCTTAACTTTCTTTTTTTTCCTTTTATCCTCCCTTTTTATTTTTATTTTCCTTTCTCACATCTTCCCCTCATATCTAAACTAAACAAAGCATTAATAATAAAAATAAACACCGGTCAGATCAATATTATTTATAAGCTCGTCATTATACTTGTTAATTCCTTCCCTACCCCCACATCTCAGGTTTCTACTAAATTTAATGATAAATGTGCTTTTAAGGTTTTTTTAGTTAAAATTAAAACTTTACTTTATAACTTATGTAACAAGAATTTTTAATAAAGGTTAATATGCACATTATTAAAATAAAGCTTAAATCTATATAAGTATAATATTTTTATCCTAAAAATTCTTTTGACATTTTTTTTCTGGTTTTACAACTAATAATTGTAAAGCTTGTAATTTACTATAATTAAGATTACGAATTCTTTATGAACACATCTTTGTATTTTATTTTAGGGTGCATAATTTGAATCTTCCAATTAAAGTAACTCAATTCAAGTGAGTTTAATGCTTATTACAATTAAATGCAAGCTTAATTATTTCAACTGTATTAAATTCATATTTACAGTTTTTTTTTTTTTTTGCATATTTCTAAACATGTACAATAGCAGAAATCATGATTCCAAAAAATATGAAGTTGATAAACTCATAAATTTTAAATAATAAAAATAAAATAGCATTTCTTACGGCATATAAAAAGAATATTAAATTGTAGAAATAGTTAAACGTGACTTAAAGAATATTAATCTAACCATGTAATATTAAATTTTATGAAAACTAAAGTTGTGTAGAAGCATGTGCGCCCATATTACACCATGTAGATCCGACCAGGATTCATAAACATTTTTATATGTCTAATAAAAATAGGAACCTTCGTAAACATTATTAATTGCAAGAAGACAAGGCCAGAAAAAACATTCGATCTAAAAAACAAGGCTTTTGCTTCTCGATCTTGCATGCTTCAGTTTGAAAATGAGATCCCCAGAAAAAACAACGCCACAATCACAACTCGACCAAACTTAAATCTCTAATGTCATTTCGTATGAGATTTGTTGTTTGTTGCTCCATACAATTAAGAAGATTTCAGTTGTCACCCTCTTGCCATTAGAAGAATAGGCAAGGAGCTTGGAAATGGTGGGAACACTATGGCTCCTAACTGATGGGCATTACCTTGGGAATTGACTACACAACAACGCAGAATCTTTGGAAAGATATGGTCATTAAACCCAAGGATACAGTTCAGATTTTCTACAATGTGGACAGTTTACCAATCTCTTTAACCCAAGAAGAATATTCATTGTGGATTTGTGGGTATTATTTTCTTTTATATATGACATTGTGATGTATATATATATATATATATATATATATATATATATTGGAAATTTGGACTTCAAGCAAAGTGAAATCGAAATGTTTTCTAGTGCAAACTGCGCGTTTCTGCTAGCTGGTCATTCAAATGATGTG